GGGAAGCATCTGGAGCCATCAGGCTCCTGTGGCACCAGCATTGGGCCACTCCCAAGTATATTTTGGGGGACAATGACCTGACCCAGGCCATATCCTGGGGGAATTTCTTCACTACCTGGGCTGCTTTGGAGGAAGGATTTGAAGCAGGAATTGATATCTTAAAGGAGTGAAGGTGGAGAGGAGAACAAGTGGGAATTTGGGCTGGAAATTCCTCACCTCCAGTGGGGAAATCACAGCTGAGAGGGGAAAGATGGGGCAGGCTCTCCAAAAACAGCTGGCTGGGCATATCCATGGTGTTTATCCAGATAATTCTGGGATATCAGAGCTCCCAGACAATGCAGAGGGACAACCTGGATCCATAAAACTTCCAGCATTCTGCAGGATTATTTGACAAGCCCAGAACCAGGTAAGGCCAGAAGTGCTCTTTTAAATCCCTCACCTTTCAGCAGAAGCAAGACTTAAGCCTGGCTTTAAACTCAACCCCCCGGGTTTTAAGTGCATTCCTGGGACCTGTTGACGTGAGTGGGAAGTGTCTCCCTTGGCTTCAATGTGATTTTCCCAGCCTGAAATGGAGTCCAGATCTCCCAAAATAAATACCCTGGCTCTGGAGCTGTGGAACCACATGGACCCTGGGTAATGCTCATTCCCAGAAAAGGATCTACATATTCATCTGCCTGCATCACGTGTGTTAAATTCTGCTGACATCTCCCAGAATTCCAAGGAATGAATGGGAACTAGTGCCATGGGATGAGTGGCAGGAGCTTTATTTGTGTGCAGCCCATCCAAAGGGAGCTCCCATTTCCCTCTTGACAGGACAAGATGTGAAATTTAATTCCCATTTTATCTCAACTACTGGCCTAGAATTCTGGCATGGAGCACTTCCGGTAACACAAAATAACTCCAATATCCCAGGTGCTTTCCCTATGGGACCAATGCTGGATTTAGGGTGGGAATTCCACTGTATTCCCAGTCCATGCACCCCATCCTGGATATTCCCATTCCAAGGCTCCATTGCACCACTGCTCTTCCAGGAGAGCAGCACAATTCACCTTGCCAAAAACTATTTGAGCTTTTCTGAAATGAAATGAAAGTTTCCCAGCCACTTTTTCTTATCTGGGAAAAGAAAAAAAAACAAACCCCAAACAAGTCTGAAACCCCAAATCTTTCTCAGCTCAAAATATATTTACTCAACCCCATGCACCTGCAAAAAAAACAACAAACAAACAAAAAAACCCCACAAAACCAAACCAAAACAAACCAAAACAACAAAAAAACCACAACCAACCAACCAACCAACCAACCAAACAAACAAACAAAAAAATAACACAAAAAAAAATTTTTAAAATCCCATTTTGCTCCAAAGAGGTGTTTTTACTCCTGGAGAAATTTGTGACAGTTTATAAGGCTGTAAATAATTATTTTCATATTTATTTGGATGGTCTCCTGTGCCTCTCCTGAAGCAGAGCAGTAAGGAAAAGTTCTTTTTCCCCCCACTCATCTTTAATTTTAAAGGCCTTGTGCAAGGAAGAGCTGCTAGGCAGGAATGGGAAGCAGAGGGAGAGGGACTTTTGGGATTAATGAATTGGCCAGAGTGGACAAGGCAGCTCTTCACAGCTTTAAACCCCATTTTATATCCCCTATTCCCACACAGGGAGAAATAAACAGAGTTTTGCTGTGATTATTCAGGGCGTTTATGATGGTTGTAACATTTTGTGCTGCTCACCTCACTCTGGCCCTGCATTCTCACACTGAGATGAATTTCTGCTGCGAAATGAGCCCTGAAAATAGTTTACCTGCCTCCAAATGGCTCCAAACCATCGGGAAATCCTCTGGAGCCACACCAGGGAGCTCTAGAATGGCCAGAATGGCACCCTGGGCACAGCCCTTGCCAGAGGCTCTGGAGTGTGGCACCAGCAGGAAGAGCTGCAGAGGGAACATTGGAAAACCCAGGACTATCAAATTTAGTGTTTATATATTCAATACTATCACATTCAGCACTATTAAATTCATATTCAGACCTATAAAATGCTGTTTAAAATTTGCCTCCACCATCAAAGCCAAAGGACCTTGAGGAAAACCAGCGGAGTTTTTTCTACCCCCTTTTCTGGCTGAGCAGCCCGGCAGGTTCAGAGCCATCCCTGGGGAAATCAATGGATTAATTTATCCCACTTTTCAGGCCACCCTCATGTACACCCCACCCTCTTTCCTACAAGAGCCTCTCAGGGCGAGAAGACCCTGCACCAAACGGTGCTGGATTCATCCACGACCTAAAGCCTGACTCGAGCATTATCAAATCCTATCGAATCTTCTCCCAACTCTCTTCAAGGAGGAGCAGATTCCCTGCTCTCCTCAGCTGTCTGGATGCTTTTCCAAGCCCAGCAAGCCCCCGGAGCGATTCCAGCCTCCCCGAGGTGTTTTTTCAGCAGCACATCTCCTTGCCAGGCCGGGCCCTCCCGCTCCGCGGTGGCCGGGAGGAGGGACCCATCCCGCTGGGAAAAGAACGGGAATGGCTTTAGCAGCCCCTCGGCCCGTGCGGGGTTTGTTTGCAGAGCCGGCCGGGGCTCAGGAGCTGATCCCGCCTGGATTTACACCCAGCCAAAGCTTCTATGGGGTCTCAGCCTTTAGCGGGACGTCAAGACGAAGGAAAATATTGGGAGGGAGTTTTGTTTCTCTTTCAGAGCACTGGAGGAGCCGGGGAATATTCCCCACGGAGGGAGAGACACCTGGGCTCCACGGCCTTGGGGGGGCTTTTCTAGCCTCAAGGATTTCATGATTCCACGATTCCAGGGATCTGAGGAGGAGGCGAGGGCTCCCTGTGGGAAGGAGCTGTTCGTGTCTCACGGCATCTCCCGCTCCTACCAGAGCACCGCGGTTCCCAGTTCCCCTGGACGAACTTCTAGCAGAGGGGCGCCGGATTTCCCGGGAATGCCGGGAGGGGGAGGAAGGAGCCCGGCTCTGTCCTTTCGCCACGTTCCGTGCGGGATCCCGGTCCCCAGGTCCTTTCCAGAGGCGGCGGCTGCTCCTGCCAGCCGGCCCCTCCTCGCACGCGGCTCCCAGATGTGCCGTCCAGGATTTGCAAGGAACAACCTTCAATCTCCTTATCCTTCCAGCCCCAGACTCCGCCGTTAGGCGAGATTCTTCCCAAAATACTCGTTGTTTTTAAATATCAACCCCTGGGAAGGAAGGGTGATCCCTGGCACTGGGCACATCCAGAGCTGTGGGATGCGGCTGGCGCTGCACATCCCCACGCTCCGCTCAGGGTGTGAAATGAGATTCCAAAGCCACTGAAACGCTTCCCGGGCAGAAAAGGAGGAGAAAATCCAGGTAAAGAGAAAGGCGGGGTGGGCACATGCGATTCTTTGCGGATTTTCAACGCTCATTCGGAGCGTTGTTGCCCTCGGATCAGCAACTTTTCCCATCAGCGATTTTTTATTTAAAGGATCCAGGATCCCGCTCTCGTTTTCACGTTGTGAATCTCTGATCACAGAACACAGAGGGTTTTTTAGGGGGAAAAAAATTCAAACGGAAAAACTCATGAGGGGTTTGATGTGATTTTAATGCGGGTGGGTTTAAGGAGCCTCTGGCAGGGAGGGATTTTATGGAAGAAAATCGCTTTTGACAAATATTATTGTTAATTATTGAACCTGTGGCCTTGACAGACCTGATAGAGATACTCAGAGTGAAGCCCTGGAGAAGGATTTTATTTTGCTGAGCTCTCAGACGTTCTTCTTCAGCGATCAGGAAGACTTTTTTGGGATTGCCCTGCAATTGGGCAAAAGACTGGAGAAAAAAATCCTGTTGGAATTTTGTGATGTCTCTGACGCCCAAAGCACAGGCTGGGGCACCTGGAACTTACTGGGGGTTTTCAGAGTGTCTGATTCCACAGGATTTTCCAGTTTGGTTTGATGCCGATAGAATAGGAGCTCCATAAAATCCTGTAAGAGCACCAGCGTTCCTGAATCAGTAATGAATTAATAATAAAATAATATAGCATAGGATGACAGTATTAGACAACAACACAATAGAATATAATATTGTTATTGTATAATAATTTAACAGCATTATCTATTACAGTATAATATTAATTATATTATTTTGTAATAAATAGTCTGGAATAAATATTGGTGAAACACCCAGGACCCCCTACTTTTATTCTAATCTCCAGCTGCTGTAGCAGAAGAACATCCTTGGCATTCCTGTATAATATCCTTGATATTTCCATCCAAGTAATCCTGATAGTTCTATTTAAAAATTAAAAAAAAAAAAGTTCCAGAACGCCCTGCTCCTCTGGATTTTTACTCAGCAAAATTCATGACGCAAAATCGCGCCTCCGTCATCCGAGGCTCAGCCGGGCATAAAAATACCCACAAAAATCCCATCAGCTTTGACAAAACCAGGGAAAATTAAGGGTTTTATAATATTTTTTTCACGCTGTATAGCGTTCAAGCAGGGAAAGAGGGGATGGAGAAGGGAAAGAGGAGCCAGAGCGGATCGAAACCATCGCGAACAGGGCAGGACAGGGAATGGCCAGGGAGGAGCAGGTTTGGGGGTCCGATGCTGCTCTGGGAGCTCCACAGGGAGCAAATTTACTGGGATTTTCCTGCCACATCTCACCTGAGCAGCCGCCCCTTTCCTTTTCCTTCTTTCTCTCGCTTTCTTTCCCCTTTCCTTTTAATAGTTTTCTGTTTTCCCTTATTTTTCCTTAGTTTTTTTAATCCTAATTTTAAAACCTATTTTCTTTTTGCTTTTATTTTCTCTTCCTTTTCTTTTAATTTCTCCCGCTTAACTTTCCTTCATCATCTACCTCTCTTCCTTTCTGTTTTCTTTTTTTTTTCTTCTTCGTTTTCTTTTCATGTTGATTTCCCTCCGTCTTCTACTTATTTTCCTTCGTTTTCTTTGTATTATTCCTTTCCTTCTTCTTTCCCTTCCCGTTTCCTTCAGATCCCTTTCCATCCCCGCTATATCCAGGCGCACATTCCTGCGGGGACTGGATGCCGGTGATGTCCCCGGGAACCCGGCAGTGTTCCGGGGACGCGGGTGGCGTGCGGGGAGCAGGTGAGGCATCTTTTCCTTGGAAAAGCCTCATCCCCAGGGATCAAGGGATGCTCCAGCGACTCGGCTCCTCCGCGCGCCGGCTGAAGGGGGAAAAGGCTCCTCCATCGGCGGCAGAGGACGCCCAGACCTCCCAAAAGACCCATCCCCAGGGATCCTCAGGGCCGTAGAGCCGCACCTGCCTTGCCCGGCCGCTTTTCGATCGCCTCCTCCCCGGGGGCTGCGGCAGCCGCTCCTCGGAGCGAGCACGGCGGGCTCATCGCATCGGGGCTGCCACCGGGCTGCCACCGCGGACGAGAAGCACCCGCAGGACCCTCGCCCCCGGGCGAGGCGGGGCTCCCGGTTAATCGATCCGCTCGCTTTCCCGGGACTTCTTCCAGCGCTGAGGCCCCGGTTGGGTTCAGCGCCACAGCTCGGAGCAGGGGTGTCCTTCGTACCCCCTGCCCGCGCTGGCGGACACGTTTCCACACGCTGCTTCCCCCCTAGTCCCTCACCCTTCAATCTTTCGCGGGAAACACTCACGGTCTTTCTACCGAGCCCTCCGTGAGGGGGAATAAAAATCCCCAGGAATCCCACGGCCGCTCGCCCCAGCTGCGTTTGACGGATTTGCCCCCGGTGGGTTTTTTTGGGGGCCGAAACAGGCGGATTTCGCCGCCGGCAGCTGGCCAGTAGCGCGTCCGCAGGCGAGCCCCCCAAGGGGCGCTTCATGTCCCCCGAAAGAGCGCCCGGCCCGTTCTGCCCCGTCCCGCAGCCCCCGGCCATGCCCCCAAACGCGGGGCCGGAGGCGGGGCAGGTGCGTGTCCCTGTCCCGCGTGGGAACCAGTCGGGGAGGGAGCGGGGGGGCCGCGGCTCGGGGGCAATGGGACCCCCGCGGTGTCCCCGCCGTGCCCTCCCGCAGCTCGGGGGCGCTCGGAGAGGGTCCCCGGCGGTGGAGGGACCCCGAGGGGGCGGGCAGAGGGGGCGGCTCCCCCGGCCCCACTGGCCGCGGCCATTTAGGAGCGGGTGGGAGCCAATGGGCGGCAGCGCTGCAGCCGTGACGGCCGCGATTGACGTGATTCCCACGTCAAATTGATCCCGAGGAGCGGCGGGGGCTCCCCGCGAGCGGGGATCGCTCCCGGCGCCGCCAGGACCCCCCGGCCCGGCCGCCCCCCGGCTCTCTATGCCGCGGCTGCGGAGCGGCCGCCCGGCGCTGCCCCCTCCCCGCGCCGGGCCATGGGTGAGTGCGGCCGGCCCCGGACGGGCTCCGGGACGCGTCTGGGACGGGCTCCTGGCGAACCTGAGCACCGGGAAGGGGCAGGAGGCGGCTGGGGGTCCCGGGGCGCAGTGACCGGCCGGGAGGGCTCCGGGCTGCTGCGTCCTCCCCGCGCCTCTCTTCGCATTCGCTCCGCTCCCTCCTTGCGACTCCTTCTCCCATTCTCGTTCTTTTGCCTTCTCTCCTTTTGTCCCACTCTCCTTTTTTCTGTCCTGTTTTTCCCTCTCGTCGTTCCTGACTTTTCTTTTTCTTTCATTCTTTCCCTGCCTTTGCCCCCCCTTCTTTTTCTACTGTCACTTTTATCTCACTTTTCCCAATCTGTATGTCTCCTTTCTCTCTTTCCCCTTACCTTGGGCTTTTTCTCCCTCTTTCTCTCTTCCCCTCTCATTCTCGTTCTGCTTTTTCTTTTTCCTTTTTTCCTCCCCTTCCTTTTCCCCCTTCCTTTCTCCCCTCTTCTCCTTTTCCTTTTTACCCTTTTCTTTTTTCCTCCCTGTGTTCTTCCTTTTCCCCCCTTTCCTTTCCTTTTCTTCCCTTTCTTTTCCTTTCTTCCCTTTTTTGCTCCTTTCCCCCCTCCCTCTTTCGTTTCCCCTTTACCTTTCTCTCCTCCTTTCCCTCTCCCCTTCCCGCTGCAGCGCCATCCCCATCCCGCGGCTGCTCGCTGCGGGGGCAGCCCGCGGGCATCACGACCGCTCCCGTGCCATCCCGCCCCGCAGAGCACACGTACGGCGAGGTGAACCAGCTGGGCGGCGTGTTCGTGAACGGGCGCCCGCTGCCCAACGCCATCCGCCTGCGAATCGTGGAGCTGGCGCAGCTCGGCATCCGGCCCTGCGACATCAGCCGCCAACTCCGCGTGTCGCACGGCTGCGTCAGCAAGATCCTGGCCCGCTACCACGAGACGGGCTCCATCCTGCCCGGGGCCATCGGCGGCAGCAAGCCTCGGGTCACCACGCCGGCCGTGGTCAAGCACATCCGCGACTACAAGCAGGGCGACCCCGGCATCTTCGCCTGGGAGATCCGCGACCGCCTGCTGGCCGACGGCGTGTGCGACAAATACAACGTGCCCTCGGTCAGCTCCATCAGCCGCATCCTGCGCAACAAGATCGGCCCGCTGGCCCCCGCCGGGCCGCCCCCGGCCTCGCTGCCCTGCGCCCACATCTACCAGTACCCGTACCCGGGCCCCGCGGCGCCGCCGCCCGCCAAGGCCGGGGCACACGCCGGGGGACACCTCGGGGTCCCCCCCGTGGCGCTGGCCCACTCGTGGCCCTCGGCGCACTCGGTCACCAACATCCTGGGCATCCGCACCTTCGTGGAGCAGGCGGGTGGGTACCGGCCATTTCGCTTCCCCCCACCCCCTCTCGCCCTTTTTTAGTGTTTTTTTTTTTTTGCCGATTTTTTTTTTTTTTTTTGGTCGGTTTAGGGTTTTTTTGTCTCTTCGTGTTGGCGGTTTTTTGTTCGGTTGGGGTTTTTGTTTGTTTTTTTCAAGGGTTTTGTTGGTTTCGTGTTTTTTATTTGTTTCGGGGGTTTTGTTTCTTTCGTGCTTTTTGGCTCGTTCGGGAATTTTTTTTTTGCTTGTTTCGACTTTTTATTTGGTTCGTGCCTCTTTGCTCATTTCGTGCCTTTTTGCGTCTTTCCTTCTTTTTATTATTTCGAGTTTTTGTTGTTGTAGTTTCTTTCTTTTTTTGCTCTTTGTTCCAATTCTTTTTGTTTGTTTAGTATATTTTCCTTCCCCCCACCCCATTTTCCCCCCTTTTTTTTCTCCCAAGGGCCTCCCCCCGCTCCACCACCCCGTCGGGGCGGCGGGGCCAGATGCGGCTTCGGCTCAGCCACATCTTGAACTTTTTATGAAAAATGTGGAAAATATTTTCCTAGGGATGATAGATTGCCGACCGCAAATTCGGAGCCCTGAATTTCGCTCCGCAAAGGGGCATTAAAAAAAAAAAAAAAAAAAAAAAGGAAGGGAAAATAAGAGGAGAGGAGGAAGGAGGAGAGGAAAAATCAGGGAGGAAAGGAAAGAGAAGGCAACTCGGATCCGGCCTCCCGGATTCTTCCGAGGAATCTGGGAATTTTGGGGCTCCGGGAGCACCGGCAGCGCCAAGGCCGATCTCCACCGGCTCCAAGGCGGGACAAGCGGGCCGTGGCAGGGGGGTGCGGATCCTTTTATCCTTCCAAAAGCTCAAGTAAATCAACCGCATGCGTTTCCCCCCGCGCAATCATTTATCCTTAAAATTCCGATGTCACTTCTCCAAATCCCCTTCGTCAGGAGAGAAATTTGGGCCCCTGAATTATCGGGGATTGGGAACTGGGAGCGTGGGGGGGACGACGAGCAGGATTTGGGGGGGACACCGCAGCCTCTCCCCGCGGTGTGATCGCAAATATCGGAATGCTGGAGGAAACGCGGGTTCTTGTGCCCCCAGTCCCTGGGTTTACACAACCAGGCGTTTGGAAAAGCGAGAATTTCCTCTCTTTCACCCCAAAAACTGCTCGGGCCCGGCCCGAGGGGTTCGGGGCTGACGTTCTGTTCCCCAGGGGCTCTGGCTGGCACCGAGGGGGCCGCGTACCCCCCCAAAATGGAAGAGTGGCCCAGCGGGAGCAGAAGCAGCTTTCCCGGGCCGGGACAGGCGGTCAACGGGCTGGACAAGGCTGCCATGGACGGCGACATCAAATACCCCCAGGTGAGGGCTGGGGACAGGAGGGGACAGGGAAGCGTGGCAGGAGTGGGGCTGGAATGGGGCAGGGGAGGACAAGGCGGGGAGATCAGGGAGGGGCCGGGGAGATGGAAAGAGAGGACAGGGAGCCCCGTCCGCCCCCGAGCGGGATGCCCCGCGCCGGGCGGGCTGTTCTGAGCCCCTGTCCCCTTCTGTCCCCGTTCTTGTCCCCAGCCCGGCGCGGGGCTTTCCTCCATGGGCACCTTCCTGCCGGCCTGTGCTTACCCCCCCTCCAGCCAGCCCGGCGTCTACGGCGGCTCCGCCGGCGCCTACATCGCCCCGGGCCCCCCCTGGCAGCCGCAGGGGACCCCCCTGGGCCACCACGGCCACGGCGTGACCCTCGCCGGCGGCGACTTGACCATGGCCTTCAAGCAGCCCAGCAGTGAAGGTGAGCGGGGACAGCGCGGGGACAGGGCCGGGAGGGAACCCCAGGCTCAGGAGGGGCCGTCCCGCGGGGGATTTGAATGATCCGTCCCATTCCCCACGCCGGGATCCGCGCCGCACGCCGGCTCTACATCGCAATTTCCCTCCTCGCTCTCTGGGAGCCGCCAGGGAATGGGGAAGATTCCCGGGCTGCTCGTGTCCCCGGGAATGCGGGAGTGTGACGAAAGAGAGCAGGAGCCTTTCCCCGTATTCCCCCAAACTGACACCGATTCCAAGAACCGGGAGCCTTTCTGGAAAAGCAGAAGCCTTGACAGGGAAGCATTAATCCCTAGTAATTACCTAGTAATTATTAACTGACAACAATGATGTAACTATTTGTTTATAGTTATTAGTTATAATAATTAACCGTTATTTTATTTAATTGGTTCCCGGCGTTATTAATGAATTATTTCCCTCCGAATGCTCCGCCGGGAATCCCACGGGAGCAATTTGAGGCTGTCCGGGGGGGCGTTGCTTTTATCTCCCGTTAATTATTTAGCTTCATTAATAGAGCTCGATTCCCTCGTTCTAAAAATTCCGATTTTTCCGCCCTGGCTATAAAATCCCCTTCGACATTTTTGTCATTTTCCCCACGTTATTTGACTTTCTATTATTTTAATTAATTGGCAATTAATTCCCTATTTATTCGTCCTTTTTTATG